TCTAGGCATTACTGTAAGTGGTATTAGAAGTGACACTCTAAACATTCAGAGGTATTCAAGTGATATGGGGGGGATATAATAACTGGTTCAGAAGTCCAGAAACATTTTTCTAGAGAAGCCAAGTGTACAGAAGTATTAAACTTTTTCTTCCATTCTATTTTCCTCATGCCTTTAAAAGTATAGCAAAACCTCTACTCATCCAGAACCATACAAAGACCTCTACAAAATGATCATATCTACTCATTGCACTTAAAACACCTAAGTGCACATAACCCTCACATACCAATGCTATTTCTCACCTTTCTGCCTTCATTACATTGTTCTTTTGCCTAGAATGCCTTCCCTTCTGTTCATCTAATTAACAGCCACACATTCTTAGGGTAGCTTCCCAAAGGTGGTGTCTGAAGAATTAGAATCACCTGAAGTGCTGTGTGTCTGTCTGTCTGTCTGTCTGTCTGTCTGTCTCTCTCTCTCTCTCTCTCTCTCTCACACACACACACACACACACACACACACGGTCATCTGCAAACATGGGAGCTTCTGGAGGGTAATGAAAGTGTTTTATATGTACAAGTGTTTTAATATTTTTAATTTTGACTGTGTTGGCAAATATCTGGTTATATATACTTGTTAAAAATCACTGAACTACGTATTTAAAATGGGTGAGTATTACTGTATGTAAATTATAATTCAATGAAATTGGTTTAAAAAGGAAGCCCATGCAAACATAACAAGCGAATGGCAAAAAATTGAGATTTGCCCCAGAAGTAGTAGTCAAGCTCACATTTAAGCCCTAAATTCTCAGTCCCAATCCCTAATATAAACAATGGGTCAGTTATCTGGTTTCCTAACCTTCAAAAATGAACCTCTTGGTACAAAAGGTAATTGGGGAGGGCGGGGAATCACCAGAAGGCTCCAATCATGTTTTACTCTTTTTCCTTCATTTCACCACTGTGCTTTAGGCACAAATCAATAAATGCTATTAAATTTAATATCCACAGTGACAGCTGAGAAAGAGAAAGATTCAACAACTTTGTTTAATGTGCCACAAACCCAAATCTTCACAAAGACTATCAATAAATAATTAACTTTTAAATACAATTTGGAAATACCATCAAAAATTAATAAGCTAATGGAATATAATTATATCTAAGCAGGCAAATTTCAAGTAATTAGTTTAAAAAACCCACACACATGGAATGCCTCATTCCCCTATGACCATTCTAACTTAAATGAGATATACTGGATATTAAAAATGAAGTAAACATTTTAAGTTACCATTTATGAGTCTTAAAAGGTTAGGCTCTCACTTGTGAACTATTTCATCAACATTATCTCATTTAATCTTAATAGCCCTATAAGAAGGTATTATTGTCCCCATTTTATAGATGACAAAAATGAGGTTAAGAGAGATTAATTGGTCCAAATCTACACAAAACCTTCCATTAGACTAAAATGACTATGCTTTAGTCTATTCTAGATTTATAGCTTAAGATTGTTATTTTTGTTTTAAGATCATAACCTTAATCACTGACAAGCTATGCATTTTCTAAATAGTCACTTAAGCACTCTTAACCTACACAGGCAAATCTGTAGTTCAAAATCAATAGATGATACACCAACCTTTAAGTCCCACCTCAGTTTTATTAGTTATATGCATATTAAGAACACACTCATATATATTAGAGACATATCATATTTTCCTCTCAAATTTCACACAGACTTTTCTGCTAACTAGAGGACAATTTACCTTCTTGCCTTTGAGAGCCACACTACATTGGGTTAAAAAAATTTAAGAAAAATTATGTTTGCTTTTAAATGTGTTCTGGCACCTCTGCAACCTGTGAAGTTTGAACTCTGTAAAGGGAGATTTGATGAAATCTCATACATTGTAAATAATCCAAAGCCTGGTATAATGTGTTTAAGAAATGCACCTGGAGTCAGACAGATTTCAATTCTGATAATGCCTCTGCCACTAAATAGCTGCAAAGGCCTGGCAGGTAGCTAATGCTAGAGTGATTATTAGGAAAAATTCAAGAGTTGCATGTATTGCCACATTTGCAGGATAGATTCCCTAGGTTTGTCTTTTATGTGCAGACTCCGAATTACAAACAAAATATGTACCTGAAAAGTTGTGTGTGAGCTGTGAAGAGAGAAGTGCATACTTTTTTTGCATATATATACAATGCTTAGCAATAAAGCACCCAGGAATATCCATCTTACTTTTCCCCTTCACTCCCCGAACCACCATCCTGGGGCAAAATGAACCTACGAGTTCCTGGCACCTAGGAGTCAGAACTTCTGTTTCCCACAGAAACGGTGCAAAGGGTTAGGACCTGTCACACTAAAGGTAAAACATTCAGCTCTAAACTGATCTTGGAATCTACCTACTTATAAGGTTCTACTTTTTTGAGTTCCAATAAGCCAGCATACAAACACCTTTATTATACAAACCATTTTTACTGTAGCAATTGCTGATAGCCTTCTCTTTACTCAATGGTCTAAAGATTATCCCCAGGTAAATTTCAAAGACTAACATTCTAGTTTGAAAGATGTACATTATTTAAAAATGTACTCAAATCGTGTTTAAACTGTAAAAGCTGAGAGGGAAGGAGTGTCCAGCCCCTCACTTGCTTAATGAGGAAGCTGAGGCTCAGAATCACACAGGCAGTGGGCAGAATCACACACGGAATACAAAACAAGCAGAACTCCAGATCCATGGTTCTCTCGGATTAGATACTATCAGAGACACGCACTTTCCTAGTAACTAGGGCTGAGCACTTCTGAAGTGGCAGGCTCACCTTTCAGTTTCAAGGCACTTTTTTTTTTTCTTTTTTAATCCAAGTCCATGGCCCCCTAAGTACACCACCAAAACTTCCCATATGAAAAGCAATATTTTGGTATCACACTAACACTGTCCAACATATCACATCCCAAACACCACTTTCTGTCTGCCAAGGCCATTCATCTCAGGGGCCATACTACCCACCACACCCTTCTCTACTCTTATCTGCCCAGCCTGCCCAAGGCTTCTGCATAAAAACAAGCTTGCTTGCTGTCTGCTGCTGCCTGAAGACTTCTACTCAGCAGATGTGATGGTGAATTCCTAGTATGTGTAAGGCTTACTGCTAACACTGGAGTAGTTAACTACTCTACTGCTCATCTAATGAGCTCATTTCAAAGGCTCACCTCATCAAGGAAGCCTTCCACTATAAATCTGAGACTTTGGCTTTCAAACTCCTTTAACTGCAACCATGGTAACAAATAATTTATATGTGACCCAATACACACCATCTCAAATAAATAACTCAGAAGTGTGACATGATATTCTTTACTATGTATGATAAATCAATATTCTTCATAGCATTCCATTTTTATAAAAGTTCCGGAGAGGAAAAAATCTAGGGGGATAGAGTAGATCATAAAATACAATACACAAATGAACATATAAAATTCAGATGCTGTAAAGAAACAATGAACTTTAGACTAAAACTGAACAATTATCACCAAACACAGTGTACCCCTTTTCTGTCTGAAAAGAAACCATTTATAGTAGAAATGTGAATTACTGGTCATACTTTTCTAACTTAAAACAGCACAATTCTTTTAATTGCAAGAGATAGAATTATGTTCCAATCTTAGAAATAGAAAAAGTAACGTTTTTGCAGGGAGAGATTCTGTATTGGTGAAGCAGCACCTTGACACTTAGGTCAAGAGTGATAATGATGACCAGAAGATAAATCATTTACACCTGACCTAGCCACCAAAGGCAAATGAGATTGTGGTTTGAAGCAAGTTCTGGATGAGTGGTGAGGGCAGGGTAGGAGGGGCTAGGGAATAAATACATACATATATGAATAAACTCTTCAATAAGTCATTTAATTATCTGAACTGTATATACCTGTGGTTTTTAAAAATTGGAAGGGCCCGGCCGGGCGTGGCTCAGCGGTGGAGCATCGACCTAGGATCCAGGCGATTGGGGTTCGATTCCCAGTCAGGGCACATGCCCGGGTTGTGGGCTTGATCAATGACTCTCTCATTATTGATGTTTCTGTCTCTCTCCCTCTCCTTTCCCCTCTCTGAAATCAATAAACATATATTTTTAAAAAATAAAATAAATAAAAATTGGAAGGAAGGGCATAAAATGCTTTGAAAGAAGAGAGTTTAACAGGAGGCAATGCTTTCCAGATCATTCCAAATAAACTATGGTTCAACAACATATTAAGAATCCAGAGACATATCACATATGATGAGGGACTGATCTGTAAAGTTTAGATGCTGGACTTAGGCCATGGAAAGGTACTAACAAACCCCAATTATGAAGCGCTAGGAGTTTCCAGTTAGAATGAAACAGGGCCAGAAAGGTTCCTCCCCTTTAGGGGCAAAAAAAAAAAAAAAAAGTTCCGTTTATCCCTATAAAGTGTGTATTTGGGAGGGGGACTGATGAGGAATTGGAGGTTTAAAAGATAACTGGAATGAAGTGGAGGGGGTGAGGGGCATAAGTTAACATCCTTTAGACCTGATTCCTAACAGCGACGGGCCTTCCTAGGACAACTTTCCTTTCATATTAATAGCAAAAGCGCATTTTGTAATGGGACAGTGAATTTCGAAAGGCGGTTGGCAGATAAGTATAAGAGACTGTAAACTCCCCGAAGCACCAAATGTCACACTTTTTCATGATCGCGCCCTCCCAGTGCCCAATCCACACTTGCTTAATGAAGGAGAAAACCCAAATGAATGAGTGAATGAATTGGAGAGCGCAGTCCGGCCGGAAGGCTCAGCGCAGGGCCCCAAGCCCCAGGCTCTCCTGGAAGCCCGACACGAGAGGGCAGGGACCACACGCCGGGGCGGGGAGGCGCCCGGGGACCCTGGGGCGCAGTGCAGGATGCGGAGAGTCTCGGGGCCCTGGGCTGGGGTCGCAGGTAGGGCCTTGCGGAACAAAGGCGGCGCAGGGTGGCCTGACAGGGGAGCCGGAGGGGGCTGGGGTCGCGGGCGCTCACCTCGTCGCCCCACTTGAGCACGTCCTTGTGCCGGTCCTTGACGGCGTGGTAGATGTGCAGGAACTGGAGGATCCCGTGCCGCCGCACGTGGTCGGCGTGGCGCTTGGTCTCCTCCCAGCTCAGCGGCGAGCCTTGGGACAGCAGCCCCATGGCCGCCCCCTCCTCCTTCTCCTCGGGGTTGACGGCGGCCGCACGCTCCCGGCGCGGGGCTCGAGCCGGACACTCAGCCGCACGCAGGAGGCAGCGGCGGCGGCGGCAGCTCCGCCCCGGGGGGGCGCTCTAGGGCCGCAGTCGGCAGAGGGAGGGTCCAGTCGGGTCCGGTCCGGTCCGGTCCGGCTCTCCGGCGCGGGGTCCTCACAGCCCAGGTGACCGACCCAGGGGTGCAGCGCACCTCGCGGGCTCTGAGGGAAAGGGCAGGAGGGCAGGTTGGGCGGCTCTCGGCCTGGCAGCCTGGTCCCTCGCCCGCTCCTGCTCCGAGGCGGCGGCGACGGACTCCACAGCCGCGGTGCCGCAGGGGCTCCCGCCTCTCGGTGCCGGTGTCGCGCACGGGCTTCTTCCTACTTGTGGCCAAAACCTGCGCCGCCGCGGAGCATGCCCAGTCCTCCTATCCGCTCGCCCGCCCGCTCGCCCTTCCTGGGCGCGATCCGTCGCTCCGGATCTTATACACTACGGGGGCGGAGGGGGCGGCGCAGGCGAGGAGGCGT